GGTGAATTAGGCAGAAAAGTCCATTTTGATCATCTCACAAAGGATTCCCGGCGCTGTGGCTGTCTCACACTTTTTGTGCAATTCGACTTTCAGCTCACGAGCCGTCGTCCTCTGGATCAGAGATTCACTGCCAGGACTTATCAAGACATCGCCAGCTTTGAAGCTGGTTCCAAACACACAATCGCACCTATTCTGCGAAAATTCCGGTCGTGGGCTGGAATCCACCCAGGGTGGATCCAAGTGGGTTTCCCGTTCTCGGCTCACCTGGGCTTTTCCAGAATTCAATTTTCAGTTCAAATCGGAGGTGCACCTTACCGGTCCCTAGTAAATGATCCCAACGGAGTCCAACATTGCCCTTGATAAGCAAGATTGTGGTTGAGTTTTGTCCCATTCTACGACCTGTCTTGCCACGGTTGTTAAGTGGATCACTGACATCGTTACGTTAATATCACCGGAGGGGGGGGTTAAGTGAACCTGGCTTTCCCATTTGTCTTTGATGGTCAGACGGTTAAAAAAAAAAAAGGGATCCGCATGATCTCTGGGATGCTGTGACCGTCATAAATATCAGTTATTTGCCAAGCGCCTGAATTTTGATCCCGTGACCACGGGGGAGGCTGCAGCGGCCGTGTGAGAGCAAGGGGGTTGGACTAGATGACTTCCAAGGTCCCTTCCAACATTATTATTATTATTATTATTATTATTATTATTATTATTATTATTATTATTATTATTATTATTATTATTATTATTATCATTATTATTATTATTATTATTATTATTACTATTATTATTATTGTCGTCACTTTTTTCAGTGCCGTTGTAACTTCGGTCACTAAATCAAATCAGAATAGAGCTGGAAGGGACCTTGGAGGTCAACTAGTCCAACCCCCTGCCCAAGTGGGAAACCCTATACCATTTCAGACAAGTGGCTGTCCGGTCTCTTCTTAAAAACCTCCAGCGATGGAGCACCCGCAACTTCTGGAGGCGAGTAGTTCCACTGATTAATTGTTCTCCCCGTTTCAGAAATTCCTCCTTAGTTCTAGGCTGGTTCTCTGAGTGTTTGTAAGTTGAGCACTACCCATAAATAATAAAATCTTTTCCAAATTGCGTCCTTTGTAAAAAAAAAAAAAAAAAAAAGACAGTACTTCCACACACCTGTTTGAAGGACCAACATCCCACCTAGGACTCAAAGGGGACACCTGGAACACGCCAGAGACCCCTCTACTCTTAACAGGCATAGGAGGAGGATGGGAGTGCAGCAGCCCTTCCTCCCCAGAGCAATGGTACAGATAGTCCTCAACGTATGACCACAATTGAGCTGCCAACATTTATGTTGCTAAGTGAGAGGTGTGTGAAGTGAGTTTTGCCCCATTTTATGTCCTTTGCTAAGTGAACCCCTGCAGTTCTTAAATGAGTAGTGCCGTTGTTAAGTTAATAATAATAATAATAATAATAATAATAATAATAATAATAATAATAATTAATAATAATAATAATAATAATAATAATAAAGTTGGAAGGGACCTTGGAGGTCATCTAGTCCAACCCCCTGCTCAGGCAGGAAACCCTATGACCATTTCGGACAAATGGCTGTCCAGTCTCTTCTTAAAAACTTCCAGTGTTGGAGCATTCTCCGCTTCTGGAGACAGGTAGTTCCACTGGTTAATCTGTTCTCACTGAATCCGGCTTCCCCCGTTGACTTTGCTTGACAGACGGTCGCAAAAGCGGGTCGCGTGATCCCCGGGACGCTGCAACCGTCGTAAATGTGAACCAGTTGTCAAGCATCCGAGTGTAAATCAGGGAAAGGCTGCGACGGTCGTAAGTGTGGAAAAAATGGTCCCGAGTCCCTTTTTTTCCCAATGTCCTTGTCACTTCCAAGTGGTCACTAAGCAAACTGCTGCAAGATGAGGACTCTCCCCCAGACTTGATGCAAATCAGTATCTATAGCGGCTGTATTTATTTATTTATAGCAAAAATCTTCTCCTCCTGCCTTCTGCTAATCGGCCATTGTTTTCCAAGCTGCTTTGGAGGGATCTGGCTCTCTCCCCGTTTACCCGCTGTTACCTCCACCGGTTTGCTAGCTTAGTTGTGTGTGTGTGTGTGTGTGTGTGTGTGTGTGTGTTTTCCACTAATGGTTTTTATCAGCAAAGCTGCCTTTTCCATGCCGGGGGAAGAAGAGGAGCTGGGGGGGGGTGGAAGGAGGAATTAAACAGCCCCCCCTCCCCTCCAGCAGCAATCCCTGTCCATGTGGAGGGTGCAAAAAGCAAGAGAGATATTATTCTGGGGCTTTCTTGGTTGCAAGGGTGTTGTTGCACACGCACACCAACACAAACACACTTACACACACTGCCGCGTTCCCCCTTTGATAGCCTCTTCAAGCAGCATCTCCTTAGTTGTGTTGTGGCTGTTGTGGCAGGGTTGAAGGATTCACAAGACCAGCCGAGAGGGGATCTGATAGGCCGTGCAAGGGAGAAGCTGGGCAGGGGGAGATAAATCAAAGGGGGGGGGGTGTCTCTTTAATGGGAAGTGAATCACCCTCTCCTCCTGGGGAGAAATGAAGAGAGAGAGAGAGAGAGAGAGAGAGAGAGAGAGGGAGGGAGGGAGGGAGGGAGGGAGGGAGAGGAGAAAGAGGGAGACAGGAGAAAGAGGGAGAGACAGAGAGAGAGGAGAGGGAGGGAGAGAGAGAGAGAGAGAGAGAGG